AAAATAATTTAAAATAGAGTTCTACACACTTAATTATCTCCCTAATTTATAGTTTTAGTTCGTACTCAATGTATGATCCACAAAATTTTCCTTTGCTGGTTTGGTAGAGCTTTTGTCAGAGGTAACAACGATCTTTGGTCGGAGAGAGACGAAGGGGAGATGAGGAGAAACAGTCTTATAGCAGCAACAATCATGGTGACAAGTTTCAATCTGTCAATGCCATGGCCGACGGAACACCGGTCTCCGACTAGAGGGAGAGAGAAGAAGGGAAAAGAGGAGAGTCTGTAATTAAGAGTTTATGTATTTGATAGGTGTACATGTATCTAAGTTAAGATTACTATATATCTATGAAAAAAGATTTTCGATGCTTAAAAAAAGGGAATAAATTTGAATTTTTTTGAGAAGAAATTAAAAAATTCAGAGAAGAACGCGTGATTCGCTTGTAATTGAAGCATTTCAGTTACATTTCATATTTAGATACACATTACTAAATGTATCTCAAATACATATATCTGAAAATCTAAATAATGGTAGAAATTATAATATTGAAAACTCGTGAGAAGATAGATAATTAGCCTCTAAATTAGCGAGATTTGTGTTGTTGGTACTTGAAAAAAGAAGTGTAATTACAAAGAGCTAGTAATACTTAAGTGTTGACTGATCTTACAATTTAAGTTTGTTTATATTATTTTGTGATGTCATTAGTTTAATGACTCAAATATTATTATCTTGTTATATATTAAAGATTTCTTATTTTCTGATGTCGTTAATTTGTTTGGTTAATTTCTTTTGAAGTTAATTGAAAGTTCTACATCAATTTTTTTAATTTTTTGTACACTATTTGAGAAGCAGATATTACATCAAATATAATTTTTAACCGTAATTAATTAACGATAATAACTTAATTATTGTTGAATATATATTTTTAGTGTTAATTAACATTCTTTGTAAATGTCCTTACAATCTATAACAACATTCGATCTAGTAATAATTATCTAATGCCGATAAAGACTTTAACACTCTTGTGCATTTTTGTTGCCTTTAAAAATTATTTTATTTTAGTGAGAGTTAAAAACCAGTGCAATGCTCAATGAAGTTTTAAAGCAAGTATTATAGGACTTAGACTAGAAGACTATGTTACAAAGAAAACATGAGACTTTTTTTTTTAAAAATATTACATATAATAAAGAGCTAGCCTGCGGTGCTTTTAGTGGATTGAACTGACCATGTTATGGCTGGTTTAAATGAAAATATAATCGAAGGAGGGATAAAATAATAATATTTGTTTTTATATTGAAATTATTGTATTCCTTTTAGTCAAATAAGTTTGATTTGAAATAGTGTTACTACAATTTAAATTCTCTCTATCAGGAGAGATTAAAGGTAGCGCAATTGACTAATTTTATGGTTAATGTTATCAAATAATTTTGACTAAGGATCGATCATTGTACGAAATAAGTAGTAAATTGTTTCAATCAAAATCCTTTTTGCCTATAGTAAAAACAATATACTAGTACATGTTGAGTATTGTTTATCATTCGAATAACTACATATATAATTGAGATTGCTTAACCATATATGTAGACCACTCATAATTTGTATCCACTTTAACTAGTTAAGCCTATTTAATCCTCTTAACAACAGTTAATTCTGATGATAAAAAACAACTAAGAATTGATTCAATATTGAATTGGAGAAAGACACGAGAACTATATATAATTAAATCAACTTAATTAATACTTATCGAGGATATAACCCTAGAATGTTACTAGATTACGTTGTCAAACTTTATTTAGTTTCTCTCATCAGCAATATTATTAGTAATTCTCCTATTATCATATTCTTCAATTTTACTAAAAATGTGTATACATCACCCTTCCCAAATCCACTAATTGAATTGCACCATATATATTATTGTGATTTTTGAAGTACTTGCTTAACACAATTAGTATCATGAATAGTAACGGTTTTCCAAACAAAGAAAAAAGCAAATAAAATAAGCCCAAATTCATACAACATTAGTTAATTAATGACTATGCATACAAACATTAAAAAGATAAGAAATACAAAAAAAAAAAAAAAAAAGTTAAAAAAATTATAGCAATTGTGGGAGTTGCTACTTGATAGGGACTAAGAGCTTCAAAAACTGGAAACACTCAACAGAGTGAATTAGTTTTGCGATGCTACTTCTTTGCTTTGGCTTTTTCTCTCTAACAAAACCCACCATATCTTCTTCTGCAAAAATTAATACATCTTCAAGTTCGTTATTGCACAAATAACAATCATCGTTATATAGATCGAAACGTCTATAGCCGTTAGAATTACTACATTTTATACATGAACTTCGTGGTGGGATCACCAAATTAAACCTATTATTCGAACTGTTCATGTTGAAGACAATATTGTATAATGATGTTAGCCTAACGTAAAGATTTATGAACGTTATTTATAATACGTTGATTGTAGTTAGAATCCTAGATGGACAAGGAGTTGTTTCCCAGTCCAAACATATTTGGACTTGCAAGAACTTTCTTGAACATTCTTTCTTTATAATTTGTATGTATTTATTTAGGAGACAAGTTAAATAAGTTATTCTATCCTATTTCGGGAGGTAAAGTGAAAATAGAAAAAACAAGTTCTATATTCTATATATCCTCCCACCCAGTCAAAACCCCTAAACCCTACACCTTTGACCAGCCCACTCCCCACCCCTCCTATAGTTTTTTTTACATATAAATACTCTTAAAATAATATCGTTTTGCTTAATTATCACACAAGAAAATAAATAAAAATCCAACTGATTTTCCAAAAAAAAAACATTTTTCATGAAAAATATTCTCCTTCATAAAATAAAATAGAATGTAACACTCAATAAGAAAATAAATAGTATCAGAATATGCGAGCTATACAAGATCTTATTAGTAATTAAAATCCATTTTGTTGGGAAAAAGGGATCGTCCTTATGCTTTCTGAAGTGTTGCACAACTTTTGTGTTTCCTCGGCACGCATGGAACTTAACACCTGCGTAAAATCTCTAAATAGTTCCATTTTGCACGTACTTTTCATTTGGGGATCAAGAGGCTGGGGGCAGTGACAATAATGAGTAAGGAAAAAGAGACGGAACTAAGGGTGTGTTTGGTATGAAGGAAAATATTTTTCGGAAAATGTTTTTCAATTTTCTCATGTTTGGTTGGGTTAAATGTTTTCCAAATCAACTCATTTTCCTCAAATTTAAGGAAAATGACTTCCCTTCAAAACTTAAGGAAAACATTTTTCAAAACTCTCTTCCAAAAGATATTTCTAATTTCAATTTTTTACCTCCTACCCTATCACCCCCCACCCCCTTCAAAAAAAAAAATTAAGTTTGTTTTTAAAAAATATTATCAACTTCAAATTTTTATTTTTTTCATCCCGATCCTCGACCACCTTCCCCCCCCCCAAAAAAAAATAAAAAATATTGAGTTTGTTTTTAAAAAATATTTTCAACTTCAAAATTTTATTTTTTCACTGTACACTCGACCCCCCACCCACCCACTCCCCTACAACCCCCCCCCCCCTTCCCAAAAAATAAAAATTTAAGTTTGTTTTTTTTTTTTAAATTCAACTTCAAAATTTCATTTTTTTCACCCCTACCCTCGCCCCCCCCCCCCACCCAAAAAGAAAAATTTAAGTTTGTTTTAAAAAAATATTTTCAATTTCAAAATTTCATTTTTTCACCCCTACTCTCGACCCCCCACCCCCCAAAAAAAAATTTAAGTTTGTTTTTAAAAAATATTTTCAATTTCAAAATTTCATTTTTTTTACCCCTAAATTATTTTTTGGGAGTGGTGGTGGGGGGTGGTAGGGAGGTGCGTGGGTGGAGGGTCGAGGGTAGGGGTGAAAAAATGAAAATTTTAAATTGAAAATATTTTTTAAAAACAAACTTAAATTATTATTTTTGGGTGGGGAGGAGTGGGGGGCTGGTAGGGGGGGTTGGGTACGAGGTGGGTGGGGGAGGTCAAAGGTAGGGTGAAAAATGAAATTTTGAAGTTGAAAATATTTTTTAAAAATAAACTTAATTTTTTTTTTGAGAGGGGGGGGTGGTAGTGGGGTGGGCTGGATGGGGTGTGGGTGGGGGCGGGGGGTCGAGGTTATGGTGAAAAAATGAAATTTTGAAGTTGAATTTTTTTTTTAAAAAACAAACTTAGAATTTTTTTTTTTTTGGAGGAGGGGGGGTTGGTAGTGGGGTGGGCTGGGTGGGGGGGTCAAGGGTATGGTGAAAAAATAAAATTTTAAAGTTGAAAATATTTTTTAAAAACAAACTTAAATTTATTTTTTTTGGGGGTAGGGGTGGCGAGTAGGGGGTTGGTGGGTTGGGGGTCCAGTGTAGGGGTGAAAAAATAAAATTTTGAAGTTGAAAATATTTTTTAAAACCAAACTCAATTTTTTTTGGAGGGGGGAGGGAGGGCTGGCTGGGGAGGGGGTGGGTGATTGAGGATCGGGATGAAAAAATAAAAATTTGAAGTTGAAATTATTTTTTAAAAACAAACTTAATTTTTTTTTCTTTTTGAAGGGGGTTGGGGGGCTGATAGGGGGTTGATAGGGGGCTGATGGGGGCCGAGGGTAGTGGGTGGGGTGTAAAAAAATAAAAAATAAAAATTAGAAATATCTTTCAAAAACAATTTTTAATATTTTTTTGGGAGGGGGTGGGGTAAAAAAATTGAATTTAAAAACAAGCTTTAAAATTATTATTTTTGGGGGGCTGATTTGAGGGTAGGGACAAAATAAATTGATTTTTTCAACAAAAAAGTAATTGTAATTTGAAATTGAAAAATAGTTTTGGAAAATGTTTTCCTTAAGTTTTGAAGGGAAGTTATTTTCCTTAAATTTGAGAAAAATGAGTTGATTTGAAAAACATTTTCCAAAGCATTTAACCCAACCAAACATGAGAAAATTGAAAAACATTTCCTTTCATACCAAACGCACCCTAAATATATAAGAACATATGAATGTGCTATATATAAAGAACAAAAGAAAATTGATTGGGTGGTACCTATGACATAATGTAGTTCAAGAACTTTAACGTCATGAGCATTTTCAGCAGATAACAAAAAACATTATAATAGCCTAGTTTGTGCGTCTAAAAAGCCCATCCACTAACTTCTTCCTGAACACGAAACACCACGTTTCACCAAAAAAATTTATATGCATGATGAACCATACCCCTTAAAAAAAGACAATCTTTCTTTTTTCCATTTTCATCTGTATAAACATAGCTCCAAATCTGACTCTGCCAGTAGCAGAATACACCTTGTTTCAACTATACCTGATTTACCAAGTTGACAGCAACGATGAACAACCTTCATAGAGCTTGCATCTCGAGGTTAGTTTGATTGACCCCATTTGCAGAGGATGGTCCAGATTCTCGGTTGTCGACAGCAGCATTCATCTCCTGAACAGGTGGAGGGTTAACTATTGTCATTTGCATGGCAACGTTATCTGACAGACGACTCTTCATCTCCCGGTGCTCCTGGCATAAGGCACACCAGTGCAGGCAGCAATGCACCATGCAGGGGTCGCAGGGGGAATTCTGCATGTTAAGAAAGTAGCATGTAATATGAGGTACTATCTGACACAAAAGCCTGTTACTCTGCACATTTGCAATATTAGCTGTAGATATGAAATCTGTCGCATGGCCTAGCAGTGAACTCAGGAAGAATTGATGAGGTGCCAGATTTCATTTTCTCACTTGAAACACATTATATCTAATCAATAATATACTTTAAATGCCTTTTTCAGAAAACCACAAGAAATTACAGTTGGTTTTGAGAGTTGAGACAGTATAAGTCCAACGCCTATTAAAAAAAAATTGGTTCAGAGCTATCTACAAAAATTATCAAACACCAAATTTTGCTAGGACAGGTTCTTTTTTTTATTTTGGTGTATATAAATAACTGTCGATCAAATTAATCAAGGCCAAGAGTTGAGAAATTGAAGCCAATTATGCATTATATCGGATATGATACAGGAAAAATTGACTACCTTGAGATGATACTTCTTCTGCAGTGACTGACGAACCAGACCAGTGTATATGCCACACATCCACCAACTAAATAATAAACCTTCACAGATGAGGAATGACGTCCTTGGATCAATACCATGAAATGCTGCTGTTGCAGCTGCAACAGCAATTCCACCCTCAATGAAAATGGCATGACAAATGCAAGGAGTAGACCAAGGAGTATCATCGTCTCGTAGGCTCTCAACATTATGCCCAAACAAGACACATGGGCAGAAAAGTCCTCTCCAGCCTATACAGGTAATCAACAATTAGAGTCAGAAGCAGCATGACACATAAACTGACACAAAATGCATGCCTCATAAATCATAATCAAGAATGTGATGCAAATATTTATTCAGAGATGCTAGGGAATGCCAGAAATCAAGCCCAACAAAATAGTAAACGACCACATGACTAGCTTAACAGAAAACATATTTTTTGCAGATTAAAAAGGTATCCATCCACTACTCAAAGATTAATGTCACTTTACTACAAAGAGTATGCTTATCCAGCTTGTATAGTTTCAAATCTAATTCAGATGAATTAATCAAAAGATAAACAATTAGCAGCTTTAGCCCTAGAGTTCATCTCTTAAGACCAGTTTAATGTGTAGTAAGCAAAAACCAGATTGGTCATCAAGATCAAGGCACACATACTGTATTCATGTGAAACCGCCAGCCACTTGCAAGACAGATGGACAAACTAACCACACTTGGTCAGCCATAATTGGATCTGGAGATTTAAGTCTCAGAAAGACCACCTTTGTCTTATTCTTTCCTTAATAATGGCATTGTCTGAGTCTGTTTTCACGCTCCTTGATTATTCCACCGGGTACCTGCTACCTCCCATCGGCACAAGTACGAGGTAATAACTCTATCCACCATGAAGAAACGATATCACCTAGTATTTGTTGTTTATGCTAGGTTGGTCATCCATGAAGGCAGGATGCTTTGTGCACTGGGCTGCCTTCTTCGTATTTGAACCTTGTCACCAAGGTTTTGACCCACCACTCAATTGACCACTAGAACACACCCTTGGGTGATTTAAAAAACCACCTTTGTTTTGGTTAAAAATATAAAAACAGGACATGAGAGTGTAATGAAGCTACAGATGATGAATCAAGATAAACAGCACTAGTTGTTTTTAGATACTGTGAATCCTGAGTTTTCACAGCTTTCTGTAGCAGACAAGTAATAACTGTTGCAGTGTTGCTTACAAAAAGAAATAGCTCCAACTTAAAAAATGCACTATAAAACACTTACAAGCGAATAGATGCAAATATATATTGCAGATAAATTGAGTTACATTGGAAGAACACAAAGATCAACACTTCCAAAGTTATATCACATCATGGCAGTTTCAGAATTCAGATACCATTCATCATCTGTCCCAACACCATTTCAAGCCTCAGGAATAATGCAACAAGTAGATAATAAACAGCACTGGAGAAGACTGCCAATTGTTTATAGGGCAATGCTAAGTACAAAAAAAGAACTTACAGCTATCTTTGTCTTCTGCACATCCAAAAATCCCAGTTGTCCAAGGCTCATCTGCAGGAGGCTCAAAACTCTCAGGCAGAGGTTGTCCACACTCATGGCACTTCCGACCAGCTAGCTGCCCAATCAAGTGGATGACACGTGACATTAGCAATAGAAAGCAAGATAAAGGAGGATGAAACAACAGTACAAGTACCACTAACAATTTGATGGAGAAGTTTGTAAAAGGAGCCAATAAAGTCTGCCAGTATTTCACTAAAATCAGCTAACACAGCCAATTTGCAGAAAATTTCACAAAACTACAAAGAAATTTGTCTGAATGCTTTCTTATGCAGAATAGCTGTCTATAGCTTAGCAGCAAGTTTCCTCCTGTCCATGATGCATATTGCACAATATAGTCTGATACAACTTTCCAATATATGCATCTTGTGACTGCACATATCCACTATGCAATTTCAATTTACTCCCAAAATGGAAGTTACATTTTAGAAGGGGTTTAAATAATTGGATACGGGATGAAATTGAATTACTCGTGGCATATCTCTCCTGATGTTAACAAGAGGGGGTTCTTAGTTTTGTTTCAACCAGCAAAAATGGATGATATTCAGTAAAAAAAACTACTCCTCTCTGCTGCAAATCAAGGAGCTGGGAGATCAACTGGCCTTGGAACATACTATGGAAAGCAAAGGCAGCCAACAGAAGCTTGCTTTGGATGGTTAGCAGCAAAAGACGTCTAACCCAAGTAGCATTATAGAGATGAGCTTACTCACTTTGCACTACGTATTTTTTGTGTGGAGGTTCATTGGAAACCAGCAATCATCTCCTCTTTCATTGCAAATTCAATTGGCAGATTTGGTCTTTCCTCTTGAATATTTTTGAAGTTTTTTTAGATGATGCCCCAAGATGTGAGAAGTCTACTATCTTACTGGCACAGAGAAAGGATTGAGAAGGAAAGAAGCAAACTTTGAACACTATCCATTATGAATCATGTGGACCATTGGTTGGAGAAGGAAGAACAAATAGTACTAGGAAATGACGAGACATTCTTCTTTTGTAAAGTAATAGTTATCTACACTCCCTGTATTCATGGTGTAGACACACTATGCTAGACAACACAGCCTTCTTATGGATTTTTGGAAGCTATGATGCTCTAAACTTTTTTTATTTTTTTTTATAACCGAGAAATCCGTCTGTGACCCGCCCTTTGGACCAGTCACAGCCTTCTAAACTCGGTGGATAATGGGCCCGCCCCCCCTCTACCCTTCTCCACTTAAATACTGGGATTCCTTTGCATGGTGTGAGGCTTGAACCTGCGACCTAAGCCACAAATCCTCCACCTTTTGCCACTTGAGCTAGGCCTTGGGGGCTATGATGCTCTAACTATTAAGATAAACCCAACGCTCCCTTCTGAAGGTTTTAAGAACCTCCTTGGTAGAATTTATTAAAATTGTACCTTACTTCATAAAAATGTTTTACTTAAAGATAGATGGCAACTAAGTCAATATATATAGCAGTGCTACTAAGGCATAAGGTGCAAAAGAGTAACAAGGTCCTTGGGACTTAAAGTGAAAAACGAGAAGTAAATAGCACAATTCACAACATTAAAAAGTACCTACCATATATATTAATTAATGCAGTACTACAATGATCAAGCTGCAATAATATACTCCCTCTGTATCAATTTATTTGTCCGATTTTGACTTGACATGGATATTAACAAAGTAAAAAAGACTTTTGAAATTTGTGGTCTTAAACTAAAGATATGTACAGTGTAGCAAAATGTCTAATCTTGTGGTCTTAAATATGTCATGTGAAAAGTTGGAATTAAAGAGTCAGCAAAAAAGGGAAGAGACATTTTTTTCAAACAGACTAAAAAGGAAAATAAGAGAAACAAATTGGAATATAAGGGGAAATTAATTAAAAAAAATTATGAGTAGGGGAAAAAAATACATCTTTTGGTATTCAATATACAATAACAACGATATTAATCGAACCCCGTGACCTATATATCACGGGTTCAAGTTGTGGAAGCAGCCACTAATGCTTGCATTAGGGTAGGTTATCTACATCACACCCCTCGGGGTGCGGTCCTTTCCCATACCCTACTAACATGGGATGCTTTGTACACCGGGCTGTCCCTTTTTTTTTTACTAATCCAACACCTAGCTTCAAGAACTGAACGCTTCTTGTCGAGATCACATGGCGTGTCATTATTTGAAGCGCATACATTTATCAAGCGATATGTCTTCACATCGCTTCCTCGCTTGAATGACTTCATCGATGAAGCGCTTCAAACGCCGAAGCAATAGTTTTCTACAAAACTAATCTCTAGTTTGAATTATGTTCTGATACAACTGAGGAAAATTAAGTAATAAATAAAGTTATGCTATGGCAACAAATTTTGATGTCGCACTAAGCATGGGACAGGTTTGATGGGTTAAAATTTGGAAATCGCTGACGAGAAGCAGAAAAAGAATAGAAGAACATGAAGATAAAGGGTGGCAGCATTGTAATATAAGATAAGAAATTTGGAATATCCTAAATGGTCACCCAAGTATTAAACAAAAAGAGAATAGAAGAACAGGAAGAGAGAGGGTGGCAACAATGCAATATAAGATAAGATATTTGAAATATCCTAAATGATCACCCAAGTTTTAGAAATATCCAACAAAACTCATTTTTTTGGACAATTAGGGGTGGCAATTGGGTGGGTCAAAATGTCTCAAGACAACAAACAGCTCAAGACCCAATCCAACCCAAATATACTTGGGTCAAATGGGTTATAACCCAACCAACCCAATTTTTCTTAAGTTTTAATTGATTTTTAAAGACTTCGTACCTAATAAAATTATTAGTTTTCTTTATTATGACTATATGTAACATATCAAATTAAACAAAGAGTTAAATATTTTGACAAAATTTCTCATTAGTCAATTTGGGTTACATATCGACCTACTTTTTAATGGGTTGAAATGGAAGGGCTGAAACAAGTTGAGCTAATTTGGGTGAGGGGCGTAGCTATAGCTACCCCAGGGTGTCCAACTAGACATCCTTCGTTGAAAAATTACGCTGTATACATATATATATATGTCAAATTATACATTTAAAGGATATATATATGTCAAATTCTACATTTAAAGGATATATATTTAAAGTTAGACACCCTTGACAAAAGTTATCCCTTTGGCGTAGTGGTAATAAGTATCCATTTAAATGAAGGAGTTCCGGGTTCGAATCTCAAATAACACAACATTTTTTTGTTTTATTTTGACAGCCAATAAAATTTCTAGCTCCACCACTATTTGGGTGAGTCAATAACCCACCCAAACTTAAACGGATTGGGTAGGTTGGACGGGTTGGGTTTGATTTTGCCACCCCTAAGGACAATAAAGCCACTCAACTATCAATATTTTCCTCAAAAAATGCTAAACAGTTCAAAAGCCTCCTTCTCTTCTAGTTGGCATGACATGTCATTAAAGCCTTTTTAAATAATAAATTTACTTAACTCATAAAACTCATTTAATGAGCTCATATCTTATACCTGATCAACCATGACTCGGTTCAGAATCGGCAAAGGAATCCTAATTATAGTGTTGAAAATCTACTATTAAAAACCATCTTTAATTAGTAGAGCCAAAGATGGTTTATTCATTTGCTTAGTTTATAAGCATGGCAGCTTAACTAAAATGTAAAACAATTATTTACCTAAAATTCTAGCTAGCTGTTAATAAATTGTGATCCTAATTAAATAAGTATAACTAAACTCTAGCTAGCTGTTAATAAACTGTGATCCTAATTAAATAAGTAATAAAGTTATAAGGAAGAACTTGGGTTTAATTTTTTTAAATGGGTTACAGGGTCAGAATCCATTGGAGTTGGGTATTCTTTAATAAATGGGTGAATTTTAAATTTAATACTAATGGCAAATTTAGGACATGCCAAGTCACTATTTTAAAGACTCAAAATTTACCCCAAGCTGCTTTGGTAGTTTCAGGGAATATTTGAGCCAAAAAAATGTTAGGGGTATTTTCAAATCTAAAGACTAATGGACCATACAGCACCCAAGGGTGTTAGTGGCCAACGACATGGGTGAGATCTCATCAGAGACAAAAAACACTTAGTGATCTCTTCTCATCTGTCTTAACCTTGTTGGATAGAGTTACCTTGTACATGTTGCTAGGTGGGAGGTCAAAGGTATCTAGTGGAATTAGTCGAGGTGTGTGCAAGCTGGTTCGAACACCACGGTCATCCAAAAAAAATATTAACGGACCATATGAGCCATTTTCAATATATCAGGGGTATTTTTTTTATCCTTATCCGTAGGAAGTATGATTTGGTTCAATAAATATGATCTTTGGTTGAACTTATAGTGACTTAATACAAAGTATGATTTGATTCATTTGTCATTTTTTAACCGAATCATATTTGATTGGGTATTATAAAGTATGAATTTGGTTTAAAATGTGTTTGATGAGTCAAATAAGCTCATTACTAAAAATAATGAGGCTTTAATGACATGACATATCAACTAGGAAAGAAGTATATTTTTGAAGTATTTAGTATCTTTTGAGGAAAATAGTCATATTTGAGTGACTTTATTGTCTAAAAGAGACAAAAAGTGATTTTTATAGGATATTTCAAAACTTGAGTGACCATTCAGGGAATTACTCAGGAGTTGGAGTGGCACATTTATAACAAAAATTGAAATGTATATTGAGATACTTCTGCCACCTGGAAATTATTACACGAGCTTCCAGCATAAGTTAACTGTTAACCATCCAGCCAGCACATACTGCCAAAATTTTCTTGGAATATTATGTAAATCTAGAGAAGTACAACATGGAAGCTGAAAACTATAACATAACATAAACTAGAACAAAAAACAACCAAGACTCACCAGCAACAAGCCATAAGATATTAACCAAGATGCAAGAGATTTGAAGCAATTTTACGACTTAAATTTGAATTCTATGGCACTACTTCTTGCAATCTGATTTGCACCATCTTTTAATGTTCATTAGCTACTATCAGTTTGGATAGATAAACAAGCTAAGATAAATTATGACACTTACACAGAAGCTCAAAAGCCAAGATTGACCCGTCAATCTTTATGATAATAGAAATATTTACGAATTTACACCCCAGGCCCAATTATTCTCATCTTTCAACTCTAGTAGAAGGACTCAAATAATAAATTTGCAAAGACATGAATATGCTAAAGATAAGAAAAATAACCCTGAAGAAAGATTGCAAGAGGCCTTTTCTCACCTTTAACTAAATTTCCTTCTGTACCAATTACCAACAAGGTAAACCATACGTATGGACGGTACCAACATATTCAAGGGCAACATGTATGATCACTGCTTACCACTTTATATTGTATCTAGCCCCTAAATTCACCATTGGCCTTTTTTCAGAATTAAATTACCCCCCCCCCCCCCTTCCGAGACTTATTACCATGTGTAACATAACAGGTAAATTTATTGAGCTCCCTTAATAACAACCAAATAAGTTCTTCTCAAACTCGGAGTTTTTACAAGATTAACAGGTTAGAAATGTGTTATATCATCATAGCTTGAATGTAAAAATAAGAATTTGTGTTGAACAAAATAAAGGTCTTGCCTGACCAATGTATTGTAGGCTTCACCTTAACTGGAACCTAGATGTTTAATTGGCTACGATCTATCACAATCAGACTGCGCGGACATAAAACGCTAAGTCCCTTTACTTATTCCTTGTATAGGTGCATATGCATTAAACTGACAAGCTGAGGATTAGATAGACTCAAATAGAATTTCTAGTGTAAGGATTATACTGATGCGTTTTGATTGATGGAAACATAATGTACTAAAGAGAGAAGAAAGTGGGAGAATCCAGCTGCCTGTTAATGCTTAAAATCAATAACTCATGGAAGGAATGGACACTTCAGCCTCTTTAATCAAACAAATAAGTTTTCCCCCTACTACTTCTCATTGGAAATTATGTTAAAATGAGAAAAGCATCAATAGTGGAGCAACATATGTACAGAATTCTGTTCCTGTTGACGCCAAAAAATCCTTTCGAAGTAGTAAGTTGGTTTGATCTTTCAAAGCACACAATTTGATACATTGGAAAAATGACACTAACAACACTACCAATTTAAGTGTTTGTAATTAGGTCTTCTAAGTTAGCGGTAAGGTGGTGTAAGTTCTACCCTCTCCATTTCATACCCTACTTTGTGGGATTGCACTGGGTTTGTTGTTGTTGTTCTTAGGTCTTACAATTGAATTTGTAAATACCACAATTAAACAAGAAATGTAGCTCTAATTGAGTTATTAGAGCCTAGAGGTAATTCCAAAACTTTTGGTGTCTATAAATAATTCTAAACCTCCGCAAAGAAATCCTTCATCATCTATAATGAGCCTAATGTTGAACTGCAGATCTGGTCATATCAGATAAAGTTGGATAAAAATACAAGCAAAGTTTGCAGCAAGGGCACTTAGTGTGAGCCTAATGCTCCAACCTCAATACACAGGTTTATCAAATACTTCTGCCTGTTGGTTGCAGCAGACTGTCCGGTGGATCCGTTGAGGAGTGTGCAAGCTAGCTAATTAGAAAAAAATAATTACAATCAATGTTCACCAAAGACTCAAAATGCAACCACAGGATCATGTTACCAGATCAATCACCAAACATACCGAGTGTTAGTCACTTCGATCTAACGCAATTTGCTACACCGGGCACAGTAGCTAAGTCCGAAATAGATCAAAATTCTACATCAACCGGCAACAGGATTTCGATAAAATACAAACAGATGATAGAAAGAACAAAACCTGAGGGACATCAATAGGCTGATTAAGCTCCCCAGGCTTAATGTCCTCGCGAGGCGCTTGATCTTTCGTCAATTTCACATACCTCGACGCATTTCCTCCTTCCGCCATCTGATCTGCAAAACTACACCACCGCCAACCACAAAAAATAATAATCAAATTTCAGCAATCAAAGTGAAGTCAAAAGAGAATATCTTGAAAATGAAGATTCAAATCGTACCTTGTAACAGTCGTAGAGTGAAGCAGATTCTTCGTTCTGTCGAGAGAGTGAGTCAAATGAGGTAAAAGCGTAACTGCTAAGTATTAAGAGAGAAAGTCAGTGAAGGCTCGGATTCGGTAGGGGCGGGATTACTTTATCTTGTTGTAGATCTTCCGGCGTTTATTACAACGCGAAAATCGCTACTTCCTTCTTTTGGGGATTTTTCCTATTTTGCTTAGTACGGCAAACGCCGACTCTTTTGCGTGTTTATTCATATTTTCAGCCAATTAGTTACTGCCACAGCTTGTACTTTTTATAAGTTGTGTCACACTCTGGAGTTCTTTCTACTTTCTTCGTGCCAATTTATTTGCCATCGAATTTTAAGAAAATATTCATTTATATCGTCTCTTAAAAGTTTGATTCATCTATGTCATTTTTATTTGAGAAACGATTTATTCATATGATTATTTGCTAATTAAAATGACATAGATGAACTAAACTTTTAACAGATGACATAGATGAACTTTTTCTTAAAAGTTCGATGTCATATTTGAACTTTTTTCCTTTTTAAAAAATGATTTAATTAATGAGGTGGATGATCATAATCGACCACGTGTAAAAAATAAATTGCAAAACTATAACTGTTTTTAGTTAATAAATAATGGCATGAATGAGCCTTTTTCTCAAACGAATATGGCATAGATAAGCCAAACTTTTAACGGATGACGATGAGTTTTTTCTCAAAATTCGATGGCATATTTGAGCATTTTCCATTATTTTTATTTGGATTGACTTTTTTTAAATTAGTTTATAAGCTAAAATCAATAAATTAAGATAGGATAAGAAATATAATTATATTATGAATAAAGATTTAATAATCGTATTTATAAATAAAGCATTGATAGTCTATAATCTATATATAATAATAAAATTGGTTAATAAAAAAAGTGAGATGGTATATCTCATTATGAGCATTATTATTTATCTTCTTTTCTTAAATTTTAAACTTTTTTTCTTTTAATTTTTTGACCAAAAAAAATATATTTATTTCCTTGTTAATTATTGACATATATTTCATTTATTTCCTCTATCATCTCTATGCGCGTTTATTTTCTGTCATAAAGCCAATAACAATTTCTTTGGAAGCAATAAAGCTCATGAAGCAAACCAAACTAATAAACACAAAAAGACCCCTCTACAAGACATGTGGCAATAGTGGAGCACAAAAAGACAAAGACATCCTCAAATTTCAATAAAACAGACATGTTGAAACAAGCTTTTTCCAATATAATAGAAAAACATATACTTTCTTTCTTTTTACCTTTATTTAAATGATGAACATAAAAGTAACATACTTGTGGGGATTTTATACTCAATCATCCTTAAAATCACTTTTGTATCGCATGATAGGAATTAATTTGAAGGAAAGAGTTATTTACAACGAATGCAATAGTACTTCAACATAGCATGTTGCACGTTTTATCCTTAATATTTTTTTTTTACTCTTATATTCATCATTTTAGGGTGAGGAGGCGAAAGTAGAGACGAAGGACAAGTATTAGGAATATATATTTTATATATAAAGGGAAAAATTTGACGAGACAAAAGAGTAGGGTCTGAAGACAACTCAACTTTTATTTAGAAGATTTTGTATGTATTGAAAAATATGCTGACTATTTTTATTTTATTTTTAGTATTTGACACAGGTGCATTTGTTTATTATCAGGACATTGGGTTGATAACTTAACTTTAAAAAAATCTTTTAGCAAAAAGCGAGGTCCCTGAAGTCGGATGAAAAATTATGGATGAGGGAGATCTCCACAGAGAAGGAAATCAGGATCATTTTGGTATCTCCACGGCTACTTTAGCGGGAGAAGATGAAGTTAAAAAAAGGAAATGAAGGAAAAACAATACTTACAATGAGTTCCAAGCTCAAACATATATAAGATGAGTCCATTTTAATTTCTCCACGGAGCAAATCTCTGCAAAAGAAGAAACATAAGTCAGAAACAATAAGGAAGAAAGGAAATGTGAGGATAATAGTGGAGGTCCACCTTTGCGAGCTGAGAAAGAAGAATGACGGTATGAAGAGAGAAAACTATTGATGATTTATAGCAATGAGAAGAAGGAAGGTGGGGTTAGTGACAGCTTTCAGTGGCGACATTGAAAAGGAAAAAGGGGAGCTCAATTTAAGAACAAATGGCCGGTTCAATATTTGAACTGTGCTAGCTAGATGTTTTTTGTTATCTTTGTGGGCTCGTTGGACCATTTTTGTATAGAATTATTAAGTCAATAAAAAGTTTCAAAGGTCAAATATTCAACTAAAAAAAAGAAGTAAATTTTGGTCCTCATAATAGCATTTTTAGGGAACAATCCACTGAAAAAATTGAAATAGTATCTTCACTGGCCGCTAGAAGGAATTAGTCTTCATTAGCATTTTTTGAAGAATGACAAAATATTCATTAATTTTGCATATTTTATTTGGAACCTCTTAAATCAATTAACAATTTTAACTATTATCTAAACTTCACTATTTAATAGTCTTTACCCCCAACGTGCTTTCATCTAAAGAGAATGATATATATATATATATATATATATATATATATATGGGACCCCGTGCTAGCACGGGGCCCAATATATGTTACTGTTACTGTTTCTGTTTCAATTTATGTGGTACATATGAAATTTGAAGTTAATCAATTGTTTAGTATGTTTTTATATATTTTAAGTTGCTAATTATTTTTATTTAGAGTATGTTTTACGTAAATATATTATAAATCACAATAATTAACAAGTTAATATAAAAAGAAACTTATAAAAAATTCATTGACTTTTGAAATTTCATTTGTATCACATAAATCAGGACAAAGCGAGTAATATATATGAAAATTATATAAAACGTACTATAACTCACAATAATTAGCAACTTAAAATATCTATATATCTATATTTCTCCCAATTTATGTGGTATAGATGAAATTTTAAAAGTTAACAAAAACTTTTTATATGTTTTCAAATATTTTAAGCTATATTATATTATGATTTATAATACTTTTTACATAAAATTTTTATTTATATAAAGTATAAAATAAAAAATTTTAAAAATGAAAACATAAATGTCAGCACGAGTCCAATCTATGTTAATTTCTATGTTTTAATTATTGTAATACCGATTGAATTTGGAGAGCCAACTAAATTTTTTTAAAGGATTTTTTTTATAAATTTTAAGTTGTTAATTATTATAATTTATAATATTTTATTTATTTTAAACCAATATATGTTTCTCTCTGTCTCAATTACATGACACATATAGAATTTGGAGAGTCAACTAAAATTTTAAAATATGTTAAGTTATTAATTATTATACCTTATAGTACTATTACGTCATTTTCAAATAAAATATGTAATTTTTTAATTTCAATTTATGTGTCATTGATATAATTACATATATTAAGTAATAAAGAATTAATGTCTAAATTATGTGACACCTATGAATTTTGGAGTGTAAATCAAATTAGTTATATGATTTAAAAAAAATAAAGCGGTTAATTATTACAATTTATAATACTTTTTATATATTTTTTAAATGATATATATATATATATATATATATATATATATATATATATATATATATATATATATCTTTATGATATTGATATTAGTATTATAATAAATTAAATTTTATTATTTTTAAATTTATGATCTCAATTGTCAGCCTATGCCACATTATAAAATGTTCCAAAGTAGATATCAGATTTACAAAAATGTCGATGCCAGCTAAAGTAATAAAATAACATCTAAGGGCATGAACCTATATATATATATATATAAAGCTGAATATAGACAATATGATGTGGCACCTCTCTATGACCAACATTTCTATTCATTTTTTTTCTCCTTTTTTGACATTTTATCTTTGTTTTGTATTTTTTATTTGTATTGTAAAAAAAAAACTGAAAGTATTTATGTCATACCTAATTAATTATGCCATTTATAACATTCATTACACTAATATAGATTTAAGTAAATGGAAATGGAAGATGAAAAGATAAAAACTATTCATTTTTCATAACTATTTATAATTATTTAGCCTATAAAATAAAATAAAAATAGTTGAGCATTTGTAACAAATAAGAACAAATTTCTTCACTTTGGCTCTTCTTCTTCTGACGATGATGATGAATATACGGTATCAACTTATGTCGCTAAGATGTCCATCAAATTTCTAGGTCATGTGACTTTTTTAACAAAAGAGAAAGAGAAAATATCTCATGATTCTTGTGAAGACATTAATGTAAAGAAAGAAATCATGTAACAAAAGTTTTTCCTCAAAATAAAAGACTTTTTGAAAAAATATTTATTCCTCCTACAAGGAGAGAAAATTCATTATGGTTGAGAAATTTATAAGAAGGCAGATTAGTGTTTCAAAGGGTAAGAAAAATTATTTGGAGAAAAAATCATTCTATTTATGGAATTCTTATCAAATTAGGAGGAGAACAAGCAAAAATTTATTTTGTGATTTGAAAAGAGAGAAAATTAGATATTATTTCTTTAAACCTCATTATTCTTCTAATTTCTTTCTTCTTTTATTTTGCGTTGATTTTTTGTATCTTTAATTAAAGTTTTTTTTTGTTATTTATCTTTAACTAAAGTTTATATATATTTTCTTAAAAAAGAATTTAAAAAGATGATCATATTTAGTTCCTTTCCTCATCAATGCTATTAATCTCATAATTAGTGTTATTTATATTATTTTCTTAATTAATTTTTTTTCTTTATTTAATTATTTATTTGAAGAAATTAGTTATTATAACTTTATAAGAATTACACATGTATTTTTACATAATTGATTTGTCATTTTTAAAATTTTTGGATCATTCTTCATCTTAAAGTTTCTATCTATATGTAACAATAAAGCTAAAATAGAAAATGTGAGGTGACACCTTCTTAGCA